GGCCAGCTCAGCCAAGCCCAAGACCATCAGCAACAGCGGTAGCAGCTCTGTGACAACATAGTTAAGAAGCAGAAAGAAGCAAATGTGCTGCAGAAAAACTGCAGGTGAAGAGAGGAGTGAGAATATGTGAGAACAACAACTGCTCAAGGCACTGGAGGAGAGATTCCCCTGCAGCCCGTGGTGAAGACCATGGTGAGGCAGCCTGTTGCCCTGCAGCCTGTGGATGACCCCATGCCAGAGCAGGCGGATGCCCAAAGGAGCCTGTTAACCTGTGGGAAGCCCACCCTGGAGCAGGCTCCCAGCAGGACCTGTGGAGAGAGGAGCCCAGACTGGAGCAGATTTGCTGGCAGGACCTGTGACTCCATGGGGGATCAGTGCTGGAGCAATTCCTGAAGGACTGCACACCGTAGAAGGGACTTGCATTGGAGAAGATAAGATCATGGAGGACTGTCTCCTGTGGGAGAGATCCCACACTGTAGAAGGAGAAGGCTGTGAGGAGTCCTCCACCTGAGGAGGAAGGAACAGCATCAACGTGTGATAAACTGACCACAACCACCACTTCCCATTCCCCTGCACCGCTCAGAGGGTGTGGGGGGAGAAAACAGGGAATCTGGGAGTAAAGTTAAGCTCAAGAAGGGAGGGGTGAGAGGAAGATTTGTTTAAAGATTTGTTTTAAGATTTGTTTTATATTTTCTCCTTATCCTACTCTGATTTGATTGGCAATAAATAATTTTTTCCCCAAGACAACTCTGTTTTGCTCGTGATGGTATCTGGTAAATGATCTCTTCCTGTCCTTATCTTGACTGATGAGTTTTCATTATATGTTCTTTTCCCTGTCCAGCTGAGGAGCGAGAGTGATAGAGCAGCTTTGGTGGGCACTTGATGTCCAGCCAGGGTCAACCCACCATAGCCAGGTTCCCTGTCCAAGAACCAGGGTGGGACGTGCTAGAGATGGGAGCAGGAACATCTCGACCAAATGTGGAATTACTTGGACGCCAGAGCTGGAAACCCCATTTCTGAGCACATCTTCCTCGAACCAAAACGCAGCATCGCACACCCTTCCAGCCTTACTCCACCCTGCTTCCAGCTGCCAATGGCTTGTGTCCAATTTTGTGTGCTAACAGCATCCTTCTGGATGGTCAGCAAGTGTGCAGCCAGATGGGAGAGGGATGCAGTTTGAGAGCAAAGGGGAGTGGGGGTGTATTTGGGGGAGGTGTGGGCTGCAGCACAAGGCCAGATGAGCCCGGGCAGGCTGGGTAGGGGGAAGGCCGGATGAGCCCGGGCAGGCTGGGTGGGGGGCCATGGGCTGGCTGTCACTGCAGAGGGACATGCGTCAAGGTGGCAGTGCCAGGGCAGAGTCTTGCTTGACTTGGGTCTGTGTTTCTGGGGAGAAGGACATGCCAGATGCAGAGATGGACTCAGAAAGGTGGAGAGATGCTCCTTGTGTAGAGCAGCCTGTAAGTCCTGCTCCCACCCCTGTTAAGAGAGTGGTGTAGCAGTTGGAGCAGAGGGGAAGGGGTCATGGTCGTCCAGCCCCCAGGACCTGCCACAGCTCTGCCCAGCACCAGGAGTTCCCTCCTGGGACCCTGCGCCCTGACAGGCTGTCCCTTGTCACATCTCCTGGCCAGGGGAGGCCAGACCACAGGCAGAGCTGATGGCTCCATAAGCCGCCCTGGGAGCAGAGATGGCAGCCTTGGGTGGCCGATGCCACAAGAGGGAGTCCCTGCCCCAGCTGCAGCAAAGATGCCCCAATGTCACCCCTCTCCCAGGCCAGCACAGCTTCCTGCAGACCTCCCAGATGTTTTGCTGGGTCCAAGGCAGTCTGTGATAACCCATCATGACCAGGCTGTCACACTGGAGGGATCCCTCTGCAGCCCAACACTATTTGGACTCCTCTCACCCTCCTTCTGCCCATCGGTCTGGGGTTCTGCTCCAGGCTCTGGAGACGAAGATGTCTGGGTTTTCTCACCTTGGGGAAGGGGCTGGAGGGTTCCTAAGTTAAGGGTGAC